TTTAAATACACCTAATCTTATCAGCTGATGTATTTTTTTTTTACTATCAGTTTTGAGAAATATCAGTTTTGTCTAAATTGTCCAAGTTGTCTGACTGTGCATTGTGCAGCCATGTGTGAGTTTCTCCATGTTTAAGAGTTTCTATTAAGTGTGCTAAATATAAAATGCTGCCTAAAAGTTTAGGCGAGTCAAGTTATGACTAACGTACGCCTGCAAAACAACAACATTAAATTGCACTTGCAACACTGTTTAACACTGAAGTGATTCAGCTTGGGAGCTCTATAAAGCTGAAAGTTAGTAAGGTGTCAGGAATCTATCAGCTAATTGCAAAGAAATCTGTATGTTTATTAAGGTAAAACCAAATATTGCTTTAATGGCCAAGAGAAACAGCCCTGTGGCTTGTGGCTCTAGAGCACAGACTAAACATCTAATGATGTGTGTGCATTACTAAAGCTCCCACCTGATTGCTTGTCTTAACACTTTGTAAACAGTGTGATAATATCTTAGGCCTAATATCTGTCCCTCTGCATGCATTACTGGGATCCTGGACTGATTAAATAGGCTACCCTAGCATTTTAACTGAAAACAGAAAGTAAAGAAAAGTAACTTTTGGTTGGAAATTTCCTGTTTGACAGCAAGAAACTGAGAGAATTGTGTTGTTCTCGGAGGCTATTTGTGTTTGACATTAGCAGGCACGCACAATGCATTAAGCCAGGAATGTAAGTAATGTGCGCTTAGACATACGGCCCTAACTACACAGCGTCGACAGCATTGTTTAATGCACAGCAATAACTCTGTTAGCCTGTTACTTCTCATTGCTTCTCTTTCTCTCCTCCTCTTTGTCACTCTGTGTGTACATTTCTTAAATGGTGCACTATAGGGTGAAAGAGAAAAGATGAGAGAAGGCACTGGAAGTCTCTTCAGAGCTATTAGCTTTGTACCATTCTGTCTCCCCCCTAGCCCTGTTGAAGCAAGATACTAAAAATATTACAGGAACATTTGATATGATGCAGTGCTACTGGACAACTTTTATTCTTGCCTTAAAAATATGTTGCCGTGTTGTGATTCAGGAGGGGACCTGAACTCTATCACTGTAAATGCAGACTTGGCCTCCACAGAGGACCCGCATCCTGGGTGAATGACTGCAAGAGCTGCTATATGGCAGGATGAAGTGTGTTCATTTCCTTATTTATTGACTCACTTGCTTTTCTCTGAGTGTTTGAAATTAATAACAGCCAGCAGAAATCAGACAGAGGGATGAAAATCAGCACTTTCCCTGCAGTGAAGCCATTCATCAAGCTAACGAGGGGGAGAATAGAAGTGGAGAGGGGGGGAGGGAGAGTAGTGACGTTTGGAGAGGGAACAGAAAGCGGGAGGGAAGCAGGTGCAGTGTGAGGTGAAGGGAGGGAGGGAGGGAAAGTGACGCTGGGAACAGAGGGGAGGGGAAGGAAGCTAAGTTTGTTTGGGAGGAGAGTCATTTGGAGGATAGCGGGGCAGACAGAAGAGGAGGAGCTGTGTGCCACTCTATAAAGAGGAGTAGCGATAGAAAGAAGGGCAAGTTTGACATTGGAATATAAATAGAGAGGGAAGAGAGAAACAGAACGCAGGCAGGATTTCCAGAGATCAAGTCAAGAACCACCAAGTCATAACTTGAATCTGATGATGATGTGTTGATATATTTTAAAGTCCATGCCACTGCTAGTTGATAAAGAGTGAAGCCGCTGGCTTTATGGAGCTTTATAACAGCTCTTGCTCAGTGTCTGGGTTCTTCAGGCCTCTGCAAGAGGCATCAAGAACCTAGCAAAACAACACAGCAATGATATTTCCCATAACACTTTTAACAGTACAGAATAAGGAGTATACTAAACAGAACTCTTTTTCAGTGTCCCCAACTTTCATATATTATCTCTCTTCCTTTCACTGATGGGTGATGATGGGCCCGCCCTCACTTTAAAGGCTTCACCTTGTCATGGCTTTGGTCCCACGCTGCTCTGCCTCCCTACAGTCCACTAGAGACTCAACAGAATCTCACACCCAGAGTAGGGCTGACTAAGCACTTACCAGTGAGTCTCTCTTCTCAGAGTGAGAAAGGAGCGCCATGCTGAGAACACTGCCACAGGAAAATAATTAGCAAAGTGGAGCTCTGCCCAAACACAGGCTAAATCTAGTAGCACTTCACAGTCAAATGAAACTATAAATCTCAATTCTTTTTCTTCTGTTTTTGCTTATTTGTTTG